TTTCATATCCTAATCCCGGGGTTGGACGTAACATTTTTGTCACGTTGTAAATTGCAAAAGAACGTGATATATAAAAGTGTGTTTTATATATAGGTCGTATGAAATTTCTGGATTGAGTGGCATCATGGACCGCTCGAATGCAGTAAATTTACAATGGCCCGTGATTCCACTCGATTCGGAAATTTCAGAACACATCACCGTTGCGATTCAAACTCATCGATTTGTAGATTATTTACAATCTTTCCATAATTTAATCGTTTTGCGGAATACTTCCCCTCTCCCGTCAGAATGTCATAAAAATTACCACTGCTAGTAATGTTTTTATTTTTTTTCAAATATTTTATATTTATCACGGATGTGTATGAATAAATAGTATATACATATATGCGTATGACATAGTATAAATATATACACAAAGTGTTTAAGTGTGTTATATACCACGTAACATAGGTATAACATCTCTCGTGGGCAGGTAGAACGGGTTGAACTCAATAGGAAAGTCCTTTACCTCTAGTTCTGTGATTTTCGCAATAATTAATGAGAAATTAATTAATATAGGTAACAGTCCAGCGTTACAAGCGGTCCGCTAATACGTCCATATATGTTTTCTTTCTCTTGTATAATCTCTGCTCGTATATGTAAGAAAAATGGAAACCTAATTAAAAGAATAATTTTTGCATTGTTTTTGTTTTACAAGGGTGAAGTTTGTGTAAGTAAGAAAAATTGCCCATTTTATCATATATAAATGTACATAACAATCGTATATAAAATATGATTATATGCGATTATTATATTGAGGCTATTGTATTGTATCTAATCGTATTTTTACTTTTTGTAGAAAGAATGCGTTATTTTTAAAATTATTTTTCAATTTTTCTTATGTATAGAGAATATATAAGAGAAAGAAAACATATATCTCCAATATGGATATAATTATACATGAAATATACTTTCCTGGGCAGACACTTTATATATGAAAAAATAATATATAATTATACATGAAAAACTTTCCTGGGCAGACACTTTGTATATGAAAAAATTATATATAATAATACATATAAAATACATATAAAATACGTTTACTATGATATAAATAAAATGTGTAATTATAACATTTTGTGCTTTGTACTCGATTGTAATTTTTAATCATTTTGACGAGATTGAGATCTCACATTAAGATTATATACATATCAATGATTATTAATTTCTTTTATTAAATACTTATTGCAATAATAAAATAAATAAAAAAGTAAAAAATTATCTAGCGTATTGTATTAGCGATTGAATAAAACTTACTTAATTTTGAGAAATAAACATTCATAATATGAAAAAAATTACGATTATTTAAATTAACTTCCTGTAATTTAATTTCTTTTAAATGCTTATGCCTTGTACACTTATTACCATATCATTTTGAATACATTTAAACATAACATTATATATTTAAATAATATTTAACAAATTAATAATGTTTAAAGATCAAGCATTTCAACTCTCTTATGTGGTGTAACAATGGATTAAAGAATTTTTATCCCCTGGAGGAACTCAGGAATCTTTACTTGGGGATCTCAAAGGTATATTTGTCGAGCATAATCGCGTATATAGATACAAATGCTTGAAGAATTGCGCGATAGATTATTATAATGCATCGTATCGAATTCGACTCGACATTGGAAAGCATTAAAAAATTTTTTTTCACAAAATTTTATTAGAGACATTGTAAACACACGGATGAGGCCGTTGCAATTAAAGCTCATCGATTTGTAAATTATCTCGAATCTTTCTAGCTACAATTCAATTATTGCTTCCGTTTTATAAAATTTCTCGATTTAAATCTCATAAACATTATCATAGTGCAATATTTTTTTTTCTTTTAAAATCGCTCAATATTTTATTGGAAATATTCGTAATATATACATTGAGCACTTTTGGCGTAATATTTTTTTTAATTCTATGTATAAGTTAGTTCAAAAAATGTAAATTACGCACGTGTAAACGCATGCCGCGTCATCGCGGCATCATCGCCGCAGAGCTCTGCAATTATCGGCGCCGGAATGTTTTTCTTGGCAATGGGCACGTTCAGCAGACCAAGCCGCTCAGTAGCAGTCGAACATGATTGGCTCTTACTTTTAGAACCAACCAATCAACGTAGAGTGTTGATAAGACGAACTGAACAGTTGTGTCTGCTGAACGCGGCCAATGTTTTGTGGTGTTTTGCAGCACGTGTTCGAACGCGGGGATCATATGAAAAGCTCCATAACCTCTGATTCCTGTCAACGTCGCGAGGAACGCTATATAGTCCAAAGGCGGGGCTGAAGGCGTCTATAACTCCAACCGGAGTTTACAACCTCAACGTCGCGGGGCAGAGCGACACTTTTTTCTGCCAGATTCTTTCGTTTCATGTAAAAACGCGTCGATTGAGCATAATTTCATTGATATTTGAGGTGAGGTCTCTAAACTGTATAATTACCCACGTTTCCTCAATCATTTGGTGTTCTTGCATCACTGATGGATGCTGATAGCATAACCTCTGCTGTATACTTCAAGTCACTTTATACCTGTTTACATAATTCTACAACAATCACTATAATTGGAGGATTCAATAATGACAATGAATAAGTTTGCAACAGAAAGAGAGATTGTTAATTGTTACTATTAATTCATCTATAATATGTAAAAAGTTTTTATGTTACTGGTTGTGCAAATTGTACAGCAGCATCAATTTGCATCATGACATTTTTGGAATACGTACAAACTCTGTCCGATAATCCTTATTTCGGCGCTGGCTTTGGTCTATTTGGGCTTGGAGCCGGAGCTGCCTTGTTGAGGAAAGGCGCTCAGTTTGGAGCTGTGTTATTCAGGTATGACGCCAAACGAATCATACCCCACCGCTTTATATAACAAACTTTACTCTCGTTTCTTTGATTTAACATTTGTTTTTTTATTAGGCGACATTATATGATCACTCTGGAAGTGCCGTGCCGCGACAAGAGTTATCAGTGGCTCCTGCAATGGATCACGGAAAAAGGCGCAAAGAAGACACAGCATCTCTCTGTGGAGACCAGCTTCGAAGAACAGAGGGAAACCGGCCACATAAAGACCAAATACGACTTTATTCCTAGTATAGGAACTCACTTTTTCAGGTCAGGATATCGCCGGATTTTTCAAACCGCTTATACAATTTACTTTATTGAACTAAAACTAAGGTTAATCCCGATCGACTTCCTCCAATATCTCTCCTAATTTCAACAGGTATAATGGCAACTGGATAAAAGTAGAAAGAACTAGAGAGCAACAGACTTTAGACCTACACATGGGCGTACCGTGGGAGACCGTACAGTTAACGGCGTTCGGCAAAGACAAAAGCATATACATCAATATTCTCGAAAAAGGTTGAGTTCTTACAAATATTTACAGACACGTTACTTAACAATTGGGAAATCAGAGGCAATTCTTAATTCGTATAGCCAGACAAATGGCTTTGGAGAAACACGAGGGAAAGACTATAATGTACGTTGCCATGGGGAGTGAATGGCGACAATTTGGGCACCCTAGGAACAGGAGACCACTGGAATCGGTGGTGCTGGACAACGGTATCTCCGAGAGGATAGTAAACGATTGTCGGGAATTCATCGAGAATCCATCGTGGTACAGCGAAAGAGGTATCGAGCTGATTTAATGTCCATTTCTATCAATGCAGATTAATTTTAATCTCGGTTTAGCTTACTCCTTATCTTTTCCTAATTCTTAGAACTAGAAAGAGATAAAAAGTAAGCTAAACCGAGATTAGAGTTAATCTACATTGGTGGAACTTGAAATAGGGTGGAGGGAGGACACAAGATTCTCATTTTCTGCCCTGATACAAATCGCTGATGTTACTTGCCAGCGGAATGAGAAACCGATGCTGCACATATGTATTTTTCGGAGAGTCAGAATCTACAATCTTTCTAGGGATACCGTATCGCCGAGGCTACTTGTTACACGGGCCTCCAGGATGCGGCAAGTCTTCGTACATTACCGCGTTGGCCGGGGAATTGGAACGCAGTATTTGCGTTTTGAATTTATCCGAGAGAGGCCTGACGGACGACAGACTGAATCACCTGTTAGCAGTAGCACCGCAGCAGACTATCATCCTGCTTGAAGATATCGACGCTGCTTTTACTAGCAGAGAAGATTCTAAAGAACGTAAATACCTGAGGCATAAAATGAGATATGAAATAATAGAACGATAAATTATTTGTCAATTATTTTGATATACCTTACTTTCAGTCAAAGCAGCGTACGATGGTCTCAACAGAGTGACGCTTAGCGGTTTATTGAACTGCCTGGATGGCGTGGCTTCTACAGAAGCTAGAATATTATTTATGACAACGAATTATTTAGGCAGATTAGACCCTGCGCTGGTTAGGCCCGGCAGAGTCGATGTAAAAGAATACATTGGTACGTGTGGAAAAGAATAAGAAAAATAATAATTGAAGAACCTAAATAATTATTTTGCTATTCTCTCAGGATGGTGCAGCGCAAGTCAGGTCGAACAAATGTTTCTAAGATTTTACAAGAAACCGAAGAAGGATTCTGACAAGGAATCGGAGAAGGATTCTGATAAGAAACCGGAGAAGGATTCTGTTAAGGAACCGGAGAAGGATTCTGATACACTTGCAAAGGAATTTGCGGAGAGCGTTATGTCCTTCAACAAGAACGTCAGTCCGGCGCAGATTCAGGGGTACTTTATGTTTCACAAGAGTAATCCCGACGCGGTCGTAAAAAATGTCGCGCAAATCTGGGAGCTCACGTGATAAATAGTGAAATTGTAGTTGTAAGTTTGAAGTAGAGCTACATGTGATGTCATGTCGACCGGTGTCCTCTTTCTATAATATAAAGATACATTATTATTATTATTCTTAAATAAAAGACAAACCTGTGCAACATGGAGAAAATGAGTCTAGTAATCATTTTTATTTTCCCTTATAAAACAAATACAAAACGAGGCGGAGATCTCAATGGATGTAGTTGAAAATATTTCTATTAATCGTGTGATATATACAATACGTGATACGATATATCGCTGACGTACAATGTCACGTATTGCAAAATACAACGAGACACATTCTCACTCATAATGATATGACGTACATAATACTTTTATACCATTCAATATTAATGCATGAATGAATGGGCATTTGAAATATTAGACGAAATTTACCTACAATATCTCTCACATTTTTACTAGTGCACTACTTTGCATTTGTACCACCGGTAATTGTATGCGGACGAACTATATGAATACTGCTTTGTTAAAAAAAAAAAAATAACTTTTAGAACAGGAAATTTTGTAATATGTAAAATCTATTTACTCTAATATCTAAAATTGTGTAATATGGACACTGATCTTTAGTCGGATGCTGCATTTAAAAAATTGGTATACATGAAACAGTGACATAATCTTGTGATAATGTAACGGCAACATTAAACATTATATATGAAACAGTGACATAGTCTTGTGATACTGTAACGACTACGTTAAACTTTAAAAGAACTTGTGTGCACGTATAAATATGATAGAAAAAAAGATAGTTTACACATCGGATGTATCTTGGCAGCCTGTTTGAAATTGATTCGCTACACACTTTTCTAATTGGAACAATCCAATTTGTACTGTAGTTTTAAAGCAGATTCATACGTATTAATTAAATATATAGAATATACACTATCTAAAATCATCTATGGATGTATATATATAAAACTCTTACAAAGAAATAATCGAATAGGGGAGTTATATATCGAAAATAGATCTATCACTGGATTCGTTAAGAAGTTTCTTGGATTTTCTATGCTACACAGCTAATTAATAAGTAGTTTATATGCCGAATCAGCAGATATTTGCCTTTTACCGAAATCATTTGATATTCAGATCTTTTCTTTCAGCCATTAAAAATATTTACAACATAAATGCTAAACCTTAATTTAATGAAGTTTGATCGTGTTGTATAAAAGTCAATTTTTAATATACAATAATTTCTAATTACTGCACATTATTTAAAGAGACAATATATAGCAAAATAAACGTAACGCACATCTTTGCTCTACTCTATACGATTTCATATTTACATACTATAGTTTTCATGTTGATTTAAATTGGTCTAAACGCTGTATGTCACCGTAAAAGTCTCTCTTTAAAGTTAATAATAATAAAGTTAATAACGTTTCTCAGATATATAACAATAAAATCACCGAGCTTTCTTCTTGCACATGCAGTCATGCACGCACATGTGCAGACGTATCGTCTAATATTGCAATTTATGTTAAGTTAAATCGTACACAAAAAGTCGCAACCGTTAAAATACTTATCTTAATCGTATTGACAGAATCTTTGCATCATCGACTCTCAAAAGCTTTCACAATTGCAGAGTCTTTCGTACAAACCTAATTTTACGGAGCTCTAACAAATGGCAAAGTTCAAACGTAACTTGAACCTTTCTATTTTCAGTCCTACTTACGCGGTTCAAATTATATACTGGTGTATTTAAAAACTCCAAATGTACGGCTCGTAATTTAGAGGGTCCGTTTGCTCCATGTGACTCGCGTGACTACTGCCGCCGACCATGCACGACGGATAGGCGACGCCGGAATTACTCGAGCTCGATACGGGCGGAACTATCGGTGCCAATCTGCAGTCCGGTCTCTGTTGCATTATCGGGCCCATCGGTTGCATAGGTTGCGGTGCCAGTGGTGGCGGAGGTAGTTGTGATTGCGGTAGGGTAGAAGGCGGCGCGGGAATGTGCACCATTATGTTAGGACCTGGAACGTAATTTGCCACTAAAAAGTGGTTTTAAAAGTAATTAAATTTTCTTTCCGAATAAATTTACATATATGAAGAAATATATATTATGATACTCACTGTTCTCGGGATTATGGAACGGTAATGCAGACTGTTGCGGTATTATGTTTGCCGGAGGCGGAGTCGTTTTTGGTGGTGGCGGCGGTTCGTTGCTCTTTTTTTTCCGCGCGACGCGTTTCTGACTGTTGTTCATTATCTGACTACGTTTCTTATCACTACTTTTCTTCTTCTTTTCGATCGGCATTTTCGGCTTGTTGGGGCGATTGCCGCTCGGCTGCCACAAGTGGACTGTGTGCACTGCATTGCCTTCGCTAAAAAATATATATGTCACGTTAATTACAAGTTTCGTTTTCTATGTTACAAAAGATGTTCTACAATTAGAAAGTAATTTTATTTTTAAGGAGGTTCTACAGGTACTCTCTAGTCAGTTGAGAAATGAAGAGAAAATCTTCAAATTCATCGATTCTAAGTATTCATAAAATATTTTCGTGAATTTTGATGACGTTAGAGCTTATATCATACCCATATTAGTCGAAGCGAGGAATAATTAAAAATATCATGTAAGTGCTCCTTTGACTCTGGCGGCTTATAATGGAAGAAAATGTGGTAACGTCGCGAACTTGACAGTTCTGCTCATATGACCGTGGTTATTTCACAATTTCACATAATTCTAGAGCGAGTACTTCTCCGTAAGCGCTCATAAACGTTAGGTGCTTAAGTTTGAGGTGCTGTCATACTGTGGTGCTGTACTGGCTGTACACTTTTCGCGCGGGTGCAGTCGCTGCGACATTGCCAAATCTCTCTTGTTATTCGAAGCACGCTACGTGAACTGTGATATGGCCTGTTTCAATAGCCAATATCACAAAATTTTACGCGATAACCCTTGTTTTTCTCGATATTTCTGAAAAGGTTAGATTAAGATCTATAAGAACTCTGTTTTTTGAATCTCTGGTAGGTCGCCTTTATATAATTAATATCTCGTTTCCTGTCTCCAAGAGCCCCTCTGCCATATGTAGCTTATGTTAAAAACTGTGATTTCAAAATTCATTTTTGCAAATTTTTACACGGTAACCGATGCTAAAATTTTTCGAGCACTTTTCTCGCATCTCAATTTATACGTCCATAAAGTTTTTTCCAATTTTTAGATACATCCATTATCTGTAGAACCTCCTTAAACAGATGGCAACAGATTTTTAAATAAATTTATGTCTTAGAAAAAATTTTAGGAGTTTCTCAAGAATATTTGAAAAGGAAAATTAAAAATATATAGTTCATCTAACCCTTGCTTTTTGCCCAACTTCCAACTGTGTATCCCAGCCTTGTGTAGCCTCTCTCTAATTGTATCCACACTGCACTTAAGACCTAGCGCAGGTGCTACATATTTAGCGGCGGTGAGAGGATGCTGAGTAGCCATCGCGACGATGGCCTCGTCCTGCTCCTTGGTTGTGATTCGACGTCGACCCTTTCGTTCCTTCGTTTGCACATTGCCTTCCTTATGCCAACGTTCTAACCATCTTTTAACAGTACGTTCCTGATTAATTCAAAATCATGTCCATGTAAATCACTTGCGTTAACTCTCTCGAGTTTGTAATACAACTTTAACAACTATTCACATATGGCAATATACGATCTTTAATTTAAAACCTAGCGAATAAGAGCAATACTTTCAACATACCGATCTATCGATCGCCAGCGCGATGGACAGAGTGGACAGCCCGGCCTCGGACATTCCGATCATGCGGTTCCTGAGCTCCACGCTAGTCTCCAACGTTCCCTTCGCTTTGCCGCCTTTCTTCGCTCTCTTCTGCCGTACCGTCTCCGATTTCTCACGGCTTTTCCGCGACGATTCCCTACCACTCTGTTGGGGTTCGCAGGACGACTGGCTATTCTCGTTCGAGCTACAAGTGTTCGAACTATCCGAGCCTACAATCACGATCGTCTGCTCGGGACTAGGTATGCCAGACTGCAAACGCTGATGTTGCTGCTGAATCTGGTGCTCTACTACCGACAATCGCTGCTGATCGAGATTGTGATGGTGAGACTGATTGTGAGTATTCTGCTGATGCGGCTGATCCTGCAATCGCGCTTGCACTTGTGCCTGCATGTGCTGCTGGGCCTGTTGCGCGTGATGCTGCTGCTGCTGCTGCTGCTGTTCCTGCTGCGTGTGCAGTTCTTGCAGTTGCGTCTGCGACTCGTGAGGCATAGGATTTGGTTGTCCCTGCGGACAATATACAAATATAAGATTCATACCTTGTATACGCGTATTGCATTTATGCTTTAGAAAATAAGAACAAACCTGTGGATAATGGTGACTGCCTTGCACCAGATCTAACGGCCAATTTTGTACCATGCTCAATCCCGGATGCTGATAGATGGGTTGCGGTTGTTGCACCAAGCTCAACGCGTTGCCGAACTCCGTCTGACTCGTGGATACAGGCTGCGTGGAGGGTTGCATCTCGGTGACTTGAGGAGCGGAAGGCAGTGGAGGAAGATTTTGCTGAGGAAACACGAATCCTTGTTGCTGCTGCTGCTGCTGTTGCTGTTGTTGTTGCTGCTGCTGTTGCTGCTGCTCGGTGTTCTGGTTTTGCTTCAGACTTTCCGACGGTGCGCCATCGCCGGAGTATGCCTTTCGAGATCTGACCTTTTTCGAAGGTGTCTTCTTTTTAACCGTGGCACTAGGTCTCTCAGGCCTGCTCGAGTCCTTGGAAGTTTTCTTCTTGCCCAACTGGGTGCCGGTCGGCCGCCATACCGCCTGCTGAATTGCCGCACCGTCCGCATCACTGGAAAATAAATCGGATAATCAGAGACAAGATAAAAATTAAACTATTCTTACAAACAAGACGCTTGCTCCTTTGTATTAAGAATCTTCTGAGATCTTACTCGAACAAATTTGGATTAAAATAAGCAAAGTTACATGTCTGTGCTTGTTACACAAATGCATTGTAATCCTTGCAACGAGTACAAGTTAAAGACCAAAATAATTTATTGAACCTGACGTTTCTAATGTATCTCTACATATACCACTGTATATTTTATGATTGCAAGATAATCTGAAAGAGTCCAAGTCTAAAATGCATTCATAAATATTAACCCCAACGGAATCCTTTGCATGTATTTGCGCGAGGGGCTCCAGTTGTGAATTCCAGCCTTGTGCAGCCTTTCTCTCACGGTATCCACGGAGCAGGTGAGTCCCAGCGCAGGAAGCACTGCCTTCGCCGCCGTTATGGGCGTTTCAGAGGCCAGACGAATGATCGCTTCGTCCTGCTCTCGAGTGGTGGCCCTTTTGCGTCCGCAACGATCCCGCGTCTCCACCGTGCCCTCCTTGTCGAATCTATTCAGCCATCTCTTCACCGTACGTTGCTGGAAGCGGCCAAGACACGTATTAACAAGTGTAGATGGGCTCCCAGCAAACTTCAAGTAATACATAACTTACATATAAATTAGAACTTTCTACTCAACAATTATATTGCATTTAAATTCTAACTTAATTGCATGTATATAAGTTATATGTTACTTGGAGTTTGCTGAGCCCTTGCTGGGCAGTCGCAGAGAAACTCAACAAAGCACGCAAGAGTCAAAATACACTAGAATTTCAAACGTTAGAAATTGAAATTTATCAATTGCACGGTAGTCGAGTTGCTTGATCACGCGGCAATTGTTATAATTGTCAACAAAAAGGTGTGAAAACAAGGAATGCGATTTATTTACCGAGCAATTAACCGCGGCGGCAATTTCTCTTAGGCCCAGACCGGCCTCGTACATTCCCACCATCCGATTCCTCAATTCGGGAGTCGTCTCGTGGACGCCTCTCGTCTTGCCCATCCTCCTGCTCGTCCTCGGGGCGACGACGTGCCAAGCGGGGATTTAAATCGCACGCGAACGCGTGACGTACGCGAAAGAACGCGGATCACGTGACGAGAGGCGACCACCGATCGTCGCCTTCGAAACTCTCTCTCCCTCTCTCTCTCTCTTTCTCTTTCTTTCTCTCTCAAAACTCGGCTTCGCGGCCACTCGCGAGCATCCTGGGGGAAAGGATCCGATTCCCGGATTAACTCAACGGTGAGTGTCGTCGTTCCCGCGGGCCGTCGGCATCGCCGAGAGAGCGTCGCCGAAGACAGACTCGCTCGCCGATTCTCGGCGTCGCCGATTTTTTCTTTCACCCGGACGCCTCTCCCGCGTAAGCGACTCTTCGCGCGGCGATCGGCGATCCACCACCCGCTCGCCTACGTCCTCGCGCCGGGTCCTCTTCCTCGCCTCGTCGAAACGCGCGGTCTTCCGCTCCGCTCCGCTCCGCGCCGCGCCACGGCGGGACGGAGGGGTACCCCAGCGGGAGGGACACGCGGCCCCGCGGTCAATACAACTGCCGCCGTAGTACAGTCCGTCGAGATTCTTTTGTCCCGCGGCGCCGACGTCGGCCGGCGCGTCGCATATGAGCGTCGCGACGTCGGGACGCGCGCGCGTGAGGAGCGACGCGAATCGCACGCGTGCGGCGTGATCCCGCTTCCCGGAGTCGGAGAGCCTCGCGCGAGGGTCGACGTCGAGGGTCGACGCGCGTCGTCAATTAGGATCCCGCGGACTGTACCGCGCCACCGTCGGTACAGTCCGTGGCGAGCGACAGGTGTGTCGTTCGAAATTCCAAAACTCCGCCGACGTGTGTTTCGTTTCGGCCCGCCGAAACTCAGCTAGGCGGAAAGGGGGAAGGGGGGCGATAGACGCACGATTAACGATATATATATGTATATGATATATCCGACGTGATCCCGTCGCGTTCCCGAGTCCGCGAAGAAGGGCGGTCAATACTTGTCCCAGCGCGGGACGGTCAATATTTGTCCAGCGGACTGTACGCGGGAAAAGTACAGTCGGTGGGAATTAACGGCCGCGGTGGCGGCGCGGGCGTCGGGACGAGATCCTTCTTTGTAATATTTGTTGGGATAACGAATTGAATTAAATCGCGTCGCGTTCTAATTCGACGATTTTAGAGAATAGAATATAGAATATTGATCTTATAACTTTCATCTTTTTAAACTGCTCAATCATTTTTTAATGACAGTCCGAGCTTATTATAAGAAATGTAAATATATGGCATCACCGCTGCACTTTGTGGGACATGCAAGTTCTTGCATTTTGATTAGAAATATTTGATGATGTCTGCGAGCAATTATTCCAATATTGTTATTAACTTTTTTCAGTGGCAATCTGCATTCAAATTAAAGCTTACTCGGTTATTCTCGTAACTGCTCTTGGTTTTATTTTTGTTTTCTATATTTTTCTTATTTTTCATTCAGCTAAAGGATATTTTTTCCTGTTAATAATAAAAAGGACTATTATTTATTTATTTTAACACGGTGTAATTTAATTCAATATATGACGCATATTTAATATAAACATTTTCGCAACGGCGATCGACCTCGTTTATGTCAATCAAACGCGACCGACTTTAACATACGAAACGAGCGCTCATTCGGGGACGGCCGATGGTCAATAATTCCGCCGGCGACTGTACCGGAGAGAAGTGAGGTTATTCGGGGACCCGGCTCTCGGGCGCGCTCGCGCACCTCCACCGGAATTGTATTGACCCAGAAAACTCTTGCGCGGCGTCCCACGTGTGTCGCGCTTTCGCGCGATGCGCGATGCGCGGACGCGCCACGTGAAAAGATCGCGGATATGCGACGAATATGCGTTCGTTTTCTAGTTCCGCGCATTTTTACGCTTTTCGCGCCCAAAAATGACGCGTCCGGGCGTACCACAAAGCCCGCCTCGGACGACCTTTAGCACCTGTGTCAGAATTGAAGATAGAATTCCATTTCGTATTTTTATGTATCGCGTAATACGAAAGACGTACGTTTGGAAAATTAAAATGCACACGCGTGCAAAATATCTATTAGAATACACGCATTGAGATAATACACTACATGCAAAGTCACGAAGTTCTGATTAAAATCTGACAAAATGTCCAGTCAACACCGAGCATCAGTTACATTACTTATATCGATGTTATAATTTCGCATTATAATAATAATATATGTATAACAAAAATATATAACAACATGCGTGTCGTATTAGATTTACAATTGTTGAGTGTGAAATTGTAACATCGATTTAATGTAGCTGATGCTCGGTGTTGACTGAGTGAGATTAATGCATGCATTATTATTGATTAATACGTTATACATTATTGTATCATTTTTTTTAATAAGGAACTTGCTTATAATAAGGGTAGCAGATTATTTATAAGAAAATCAGTAAAAAAAAAAGGAAGAGAATAAAATCAAAGAAAGTGATTAGAGATCTTTTTAGAATAGAAATAATAACAATAAAATAATAGTAAGAAACAAGCGTAGCAATAAAAAATGTAAGAAGTTGTGCTAATTAAAATTCATACAATTTAAAATAATATTATTTCTTGCATATTGCATTAATGAATTTTACATCTCGCGAGCATTATTTTAATTCTCTTTTGTAGAACCTGATTTCCCTAATTTTCTGCAGATACGCAATATCTGCGCCTGCAAATGCAACACGCGCTACTCGCGCGGAGAGGCAATTAACATGGCGAGATGGGGATAAGAGCGACTTCGACCAAACTCCAAACTCTGATCAGATATGCTTAAAGCGAAATTTCTAACTGTATAAAGAAATTAACTTTATCCATGTTAATAAAACAGTACAGATATGTTACTTGACAATAAATTAATCGCAGATTAAGTTAAGTGGAATTTAGTCGAAGTCACCCTTATAATCGGTTACTGTTGGAAACAGAATAAAATAGAATATAACTCGTTCCTCGTACACAATTTTATGCCGAGTCGTTTTATCAACGAAGATATTAGTACGGTATCTGAATTAATCTACTAATTATGCGTGCAGCATTTGTTAAATGTTGACGCGCGAGGGCTAAGCAAGTAGTCGAGACTGTAATTGATCGTACGAAATATCCATTGACAGATCTCTTCACTTTAGTTGCGCTTTGTATTTCCTTCCTTCTTTTCCTTCCTTCTTCATCGGAAGTCAGGAACTAACGGAATATTATGTATATTTTATTTTAGAACGGAACTGAGATGCGATAACAGCAGAAACGATGTGCACGTTCCTCGTGCAGCCAGTAGAAATGGACTACATTGGTCGGACAGCATTCAATGAAATAAATGTAAAGCTATAGCTTCAATATGTATATAATTTTCTTAACTGTAGAAAGGATCGTTCGAAATTGTTACTGTAATTAATCGGTACAGAATATTATGAATTAACCGAATTAATTTAAAAAATTGTTAAAGATTTAAGAATTATGAATGATTGCTGAAAAACTTCCTTTTCTATAAATTCTGTTCGCGATTCTTTTATTTTGTCTATATATAAGTATTTCGTAGTTAAAAGAATGCAGTTATTTCAGGTATCTCGTAACGAGGGCAAAAGTAATGATGATAAATCTCGACAGGGTGATTCGGTATACATAAAACTGCGTGCGCGAAGATGAAGACTGAGGAGCAGGGAGGGACGGAGGAGTGTCGTGTATTCGTGTCGACGTCGCATAGGATAGAGAGGAGATATTACGTAGGGTCGGATCGTAAACTGGTAACATCCGCCAATCAAATCCGTCTGTCTATGTGTGTGACCTGGCCTAGAATCGAAAGCTCTTCTATACCGAGGAGAGACGGTAATTTCGCGCGATGAAAAGAGCGCGCTATATTACCGCGCTGGCATTATGCGATGTGGAACGTTTCGACCGTGTTGTCGAATCATTTAATCATGATTACGTCGAGGAAAAAAGAAATCTAATCTATAAAATCGGCAGGATCAAATATTCGGAAGTACTTGTTTGTTGTTTCAATTAAATCGACGTTATATCTCCTCCGAGCAAGAAGGTGGTATCCTAGTACAACATGTTAACTGAATATTGGTTGTATTGGGAATATTTTTTGGCTAATATTTCCCAAAGTAAAGCTAATAAGGTTATTAATAAAATGCAAGTGCACTGCCAATTTTGGCATATAATATTAGCTCAGGAAGAAAGATCGTCTTTACAATTTAGTACTAATATGAAAAATTAGTCTGTATACCCAACATAAAAATTAGATATATATTGTTAGCCAATATTGCTGCAATTAAATTGTGCTATTAGGGTGAATGAAGAAAAAATCGCGCTATTTTCTAATTCCTATCCCAAGGCTCCTCGTGCTCGAAACACTTCGAGATTCACATATAAAAGATACGTTGTGCGAAATCAAATTTTTAGCTCGATTAAATTCTGATAACACAGAAGCGTCTATTATAGAACATCGTTTTGCGGAAAACGACGCAAGGGCGGCGCACGAGAACGAGAGAACGAGAGAGAAAGAGAGAGAGAGAGAGAGAGAAAGAAGAGAAGGATAACAGCTCGCGACCTGCTCTCGAATCAGTTTCCAGGGCTGCGCGCGGCAGGGCTCGCAGCTTCCACCTCTGTCTCTCTCGGCCTCTGGACCTCGTGCCTCGTCTCTCATCCCGACCCCCGTTCGGCCACCCGCGTCCAGCCACTCTCTCTCTCCCGTCTCCGACGTTCAGTCCGCACCCTCGCCTCGCGCACGGCGCGTACTCCGCACGCCTTCGCCTTCGTCGACACGCGCCGGAAATCGCCGCGGGCAAAGGGAACGTACCGTACGCGCTCGCACCACCGACGGCAGCAAGGAAGAAGGTTCCGCGATAAAGTGATAAGGATACGGAAGCTCGAGAGACACCAAGGATGAGGCTCCTCGCAATCGCCCTGACTTTCCTCCTTCAGGCGTGGATCGTGTCCTGCGGGGTACGTGACAAAACGGGGCGGTGGCAGAGCTGATCGAGACATATAGGCGAATCTGGGGGGATGGGAACTCGAACGGAAAATTGTACCCCCTCAAAAATTAATTAAATTAAAAATATATACGAGGGAATTCGATAGAAATTTATTTTTTATTTTATTTTTTATAATTCCTCTAAAATCAGAGAGTCAGGGGTGCGACTATGTCTCTCGAAGCTTAAACGAAACTCGATAGAAGTGAACAGAGACTCGAGAGAATCGTGGAGGTTTTTTTTTTTTTAAATTGAGTATTCAATAATGCTTTCTTTATTTTCCATATAGAGATAATTACGATCGCGATTTGCTCGATTTTTTATTCAACATCGAAAACAAAAATTAAAATTCTCTGTGCAGAAAATGGAAATGGGTTTTAAATCAAGAGGAGGTAGAATATCGGTCGGAGACGAGTTGTGCGTTCAATAACGCGTGCGACACTTTTGGAATTGATATTTTCCATATAGAGACAATCACAATCGCAATCTACTCGATTTTTTTATTCAACGTCGAAAATGAGAATTAAAATTCTCTGATGTGCAGAATGCATTTTCTGTTTTGTCTCTTTGTGGCGGAACTTATAGAAATGAAAAACGATATTGAAATAATTATAAAAATAATCGGGTATTGAAACAATAACAAAGAGAAATAATTACGTTACGACAATATTCCTTCGCCAAGTTGCTGTAGATAAACAAATAATGTATTATAGTTCGCCAATACAGCTTCCGCGAGAGCGCTCGTTTCTCGCTATTTATCTCGACTAATGTCTATTAGTCTCAATGACACCGATCTATTTTGCAGACGAGACCCAGCTTCGTTTCCGATCAGATGATCGCGACCGCAGCCAGTGTCGTGAACGCCTGCCAAACGCAAACGGGAGTTGCTACAGGTATCCAACGAGAGAGAGAGTTCGTTCACCTCGGGCGTGAATGAAATTATCGATCGCCCTTTTAATTGCCGCGACGACGCATAAAGTTATAGAATGCAGCTGATGCTCGCGAAACCGAGTTTCCCTGCTTCAAATTAAATTGGCAGAATAATTTTTTATTCCTATGCACCGTTAAATATTAAAAGATAAAATTTAAACCAATACCCTAAGTTAAATAACATTTTGTTATTTTTAACTACCGTGTGTGTCAAAATTTATTATTTTGACACAAAACAGTATTATTTTAACATTGGTTAGTTAAATTTACATTGCTTCAGTTAAATTAACGACATATTGATTAGGGACAGATTTATATAGGAATGGTTTAAAGTGATTCAAATTGATATAATTTGACTACGAATTTAACACTATATCAAAAAGATAATGAACCTACGTTAACGCGTTCGGTGCATCCAATTTGAGTTCCAAGAAACTTACAATGGAAATTAAGTTTCTTGGAACTCAAATTGGATCATATACATATACATATATATATATGTGTGTGTGTGTGTGTATATATATATGGAATATATATATGGAATACGTATTTTTTTAGCCGACATAGAAGCGGTAAGAAACGGTCAATGGCCGGAAACACGTCAATTGAAGGTGAGTACCGATGCGCGAGGCGCGTGAATTGTCAATTATGCCTGGCAAAAAAAAGAGAGAATCGTTATCCCAGCGTCGAAATGCAAAGATTCAATCTGATTTCTCGCAGTGCTACATGTATTGCCTCTGGGAACAATTCGGTCTGGTCGACGACAAGAGAGAGCTAAGTCTGAACGGGATGCTGACATTCTTCCAGAGAATACCCGCTTATAGAGCCGAGGTGGAGAAAGCGATCAGCGAGTGCAAGGGGATCGGTAACTATTTGGGTATCTACTGTCCTTTTTCGTTTTCGTTCGTCCCGATCGATTGCGTGTGCTCGAAACTTACGAAATCTGGAAGTATAATCCTCTTGAAAATATTACCTAAAATTAGTTGCTGTATATTAGTTAATAACTCGCTTCGAAATTGAAAGGATTCCAAACTGATTAAAGCGCAGTTGATGATTCCAAGAGTTTTTAACGGCACGTTTCGATCGCAATTAGATTGACAATAATTAAAAAAAGAAAAAAAAATTGCGATCGAAAAGCTCCCTAAAAGATATATTATATATTTATTTGTATCTCTTGAATTATTATAATATAACAAGCGCCTCTTCAATGTCGAAAGCTTCGAGTCTTTGATTCGTTTTTTTACTTTCTATTTAATTCTGATATTTTACCCGAGTATGGTATTTCATTTTATTTTCGATTACACACGATCCTTCGTTTTGCGTCACGTAGAATAATTAATGGCCAATCGCATCTCTCTCTGTTCGCAGCAAAGGGTGATAATTGCGAGTACGCGTACACGTTCAACAAGTGTTACGCGGAGTCATCTCCGAGGGTAAGTGATTCCCACAATTGTTTATATAAATCGCATATTGCATTATCCTCATCATCTCACACGCGATCGCAATGTCCGTTTCAGACTTACTATCTATTTTAACGAGCCCCGCGGGAGGACGACAGTTATGAAGACCAAGAACAAAATGCTCAAGATACAATTTCGCCGAATGTGTTGAGATGTTTTTACATTTGAACCACTTTCCACATTATCATGTAACTGTGCTGTATATACCATGCCGTATTGCGTAAACCGTATACGATGTGTGTGTCGATGAAATAAAGAATTCAGCGATCTAATCGACATATCTTCGGCTCTCCTTGCCATTTTGTACCCTCGTTGCAACGCAAAACCGAACGTATCCTTACTTTCCGAGAGAAATAAAAAAAAAAAAAAATAAGTTCTAAAGTTCAAGGTTTTCGTACGAATTACGATGTCGGAGGTTCTTTTTCTTTCTTTTTTTTTCGAAGAAGATTTGTATATGATTTGTATAAAATGTCTTTATATCGGATTGATTGCCGGATAAATTGATGGCGCTCTCGCGCGTGACGATAAGACCGAGTTTGATATCGCACAGATTGCGGCAGTAGAACGGTCCAATTGCCGGTTGAGGTCACACTTGATGATCGAACGCAACGGATGGAAGAGATCTACAACTATAACACACTTGAAACGCTCATTCGCAAACGAGTCCTTTTGTGACGTCCAGAGCAGAAATAGCGTCGGCTCGTGCGCGTTCAGCAAGTGGAAAAGCATTACGGATATAACGCAACGCGAGAGCTTTCCGATGAACGCGAGGCAGACGGCAACGCAAAAATCATGATTATTAGATAAAATCACAAACTTTAATTGACTATAACTGGTAAATTTATTCATAAAAAATCACATGTGTGATTTTTTAAGTCAATTAAAGTTTGTGATTTTATTTTATATTCACTGGCGGAAAAAACTTTTCTATTATTTTTGAATCATAATTATTAGATCGAGATCACGATTATTAGCTCTAGATTAAGTCTATAGATTATATTTTAGATTATATTATTATTACATTTTAGATTAGATTAGATCTATAGATTATATTTCAGAGAAAGAGAACGAGAAACTCTACGATTTAGTTTACGGCGATCTAGCAGTTTCTGTTCGATAGCAAAAATGTAAATCTTGCGACAGTAAGATGACTTAATTGTGCAAAACCGGTTGCATATACGAACTCATGACGCGAAGTTACACAACGCGCAGGATTACCGCGGCTTATAATTAAAAGACTAAAACATTTCATTTGTCAGCCGGGATGCACTGTTTACAGTGCTCGATTCAGACGTCTAGGTATAATTTTCTGAAGTACCGAAATCACAGGCCGCGGAACGAGGAAGAGATTATCGTGCGATTGTTAATTACTTAGGAAGTAGCTTAGGATATGATTTATTCTAAGTTACTATTATACGTTTGTTTACCGTCATGCTTCTCGCTTACAGCCGCACGCGCATATTACACAAAGTTTCATATTGCTAATCTTTTCCCGGTATTTTAAATAACTTTGTCTCTACTCAAGCTTGCGTCTCTTTCGAATTTTCTTCGCAGAAAGCCTATATAAGAAATAGTTTTCGTGCGAGAATTATAATTTTACTAATTATTTTACATGTCAGTTACATATAGTGCAGAAGCTCAGATCTATAAGTAAAGATTATTTCGAAACATTTCCGGAAAATATTTTCAAAAATACAATTATGATTCCGCGATAATAATAATTCACGAAATTTGAAGCTCTTGACTCTGATACTTATAGTTAATTATCCCGACGTAATATATATTCGTGTGATTCGCTGATAGTTGAGTTTTGTCTTTGCCTGCTAATTATTATCTCCCACCTCATCCCCTAGGACAGCATAAATTCTCGTGATTCAGCGCGACCGCGCACTTAGTAATCCTAGATGGCCGAGTAAACGTTTTTTTTTTTTTCGGCTAGATCCGTATCGACCGCGTGTGTGAAATACGAGAAATGGCAAGGGAAAGCTTAATTCTCATCTGTGCCTCTCTTATCTTTACGCAGCTCGTAGTCGTGAACGCCGCGCCCGGTGACGAAGTGAGTACGATGTATATGAGTTTAAAGTCTACCCGGATCTTTACGATTGCGGCCGATATAATATAATTTTCTAGGATATAGATTGGACCACCGTTCACGAAGAGTTAAGGAAATTGGCTGGAGGTATACGGAAAAAGTGTACCGGTGAAACTGGCGTGACAGTCGGTACGTTCTTCAGAGTATCGCATTAGATTAACGAGCGAAAGGACTTATTCGATACTTAATTATTATTAATAAGAGAAACGATCGAAGTACGTCCAATCGTTTGATATTCGCCAAGAATAATTTGCACTATCTTCCTTATATCTATTAATGTTAACGATTTTAATCGCAGAGACGCTAGACGCGGCAGAATTAGGCGATTTTGACAAAGCAATCGGGTGCTACTTCAAGTGTGCGATGGAAAAAGGGGGAGTGGTAAAAGCTTTTTTTTTTACAAAACGTAGACGTAATAACGATTAGAACCGAATCGCTGAAGCTTTAATTTTTTTCCCGATCAGATGAAGAAGGACGGCAAAATAAACTACAAGCTCTTATCCAAGATGATGCCGCAAGCATACAAGCATATTGGGATGGAAATGCTCGACCAGTGTCGTACCACTGGCAAGTATCAGTTTGTTGAGATAATAATACTTGTCTTGATGCGACGCAAATTACATTGCATCGTCTAATTATAAAAATTAAAAAAGTATAAAAATTATCGACGGACTATCATAAAAAAGCTACATTATAAAAAATAATCTTCGATGTTGATTACACGTTTTATATAATTGTCTACAATTTCTTTCAGGCGGTAGCGACAACTGCGACAAGGCCTTGAAGTTCAATCAATGCATGTACAAAGCAAATCCTGTGGTACGTATATAATGATTGATATACTCGATTGATACAATATGATTCTAAATGTGTCATGCTATATGTCCTATTGTATTTTTTTCCAGGCATACTTCGTTATCTAAATGTAGGTATATGTATAAGTGATAGTAAGAGATCCCAAAATATTGCCTGTACAATTTGAGATAAAACTGAAAATAAAACGCCCAACAGCCATCCGTTCTCCGTTTCTCGTTCTTACGCTAATTTACAGAATAAAGTGAAATACATCCTCGAAAGAGTAAGAATGGCATATATTATTTGCGAGAACGTTTATAATAACAATTCCATGAATATAACAACAGCAATTTTTGTATGTACATCTTATTTTATATAACTTAACGGTTATATCACGATTTACGTATCGGATGCAGTCGGTGCGGCGCATACCTTGCATTAAACTATTCCATTGATAAAGTTTCTCGATATACATACAAACGATTCGTGTACGTTATATACATTTCTGATCAAACACGTAATTCTTCCGTTAATATTGTCCACATATATGTATAAATATTAATAAATCTAAATACACGCCAAGTATACCGCGACAGTCTTCTATTGAATTGTAAATAAAAAATCTTCTTCATTCCGTGATATACACGACTGTTGTGACAGATATTGCGGACAAATCACAAATAATCAGACATATAAAACAACGAATGATGTAAAATCTTTACATCTTGAATGATATAAATCCTTACATCTTCGACAATCTCTTGAGATCATTACAAATGAGTCTCACTGTATAAATAATGATGACGCTAATAACAACAATATGGTCTATGCTTTCCGCGGCTTCGTCTTTCTCTTGTTAATATTCATTATTTGCTCGACTATGATATCATCCGCTCTGGGATCGATGGGAATGGCCTGGACGGGCGCTCTGGAGCTCGGCACGGGCTTGGACCGTCTCTCCAGTAGCGCGTTCAACCAGACCCACAGTTTCTCGCGATTGAGGAACGCCAGGGCGACCAGCATGATGAACGGCAGCGCGATCACCGATGTCTGATTCATCTCGCCCTGATCGACTTTCCGTTCCGCGTTGAACGCCAGTTTGACGTACTTGAACGACGAGTTCGCCTCGAAGTAGACTGGAATAGTGCGGTACTTGTGCACGGTCTGGGACAGCGACGACTCCAATTGGACGAAGTACTTCCTGCCGTCGGCTTGCAACGGCGGGAAATGCACCAGGAAGCCAGCGTTGTAGCTGCCGGCGTTTTTGCTGGCGGTTTGCTGCACGTCCAACTTGGAAACGTGCACCGGCGAGTCGGGAGCGTCCTCCCGGCACAGCTTCACCTTGATCGTGCGATAGTGCTCCGGTTGGGCGGACATGACGTGCACCGAAACGTCCGTGCGCGAGATCGGATGGAAGGCGATCAGCCGCAGACCACGAATGTCCTCCACCGGCTGCACCAGCTGAGAGCTGGGACTCGTGCGCTGTATATGGGCGTTGCTCTCCACGTTCGGCTTCAAACGGAAGGTGTAGGTGCACTGTAAAATTAATAAATCGTTGCGTCAAAATCGTTACTAAACGATTGAGATTACCTTGTATATATTTTTTTTGCTCGAAATATATTATTAATATAACTACTCACTGTAGGTTGAAGACCGCGAATCCTGAAGTTACCGTTCTCCTCAGTCGTAGCCTCCTCTTGAAGACTGGAGCAGTTCCCTTGACCCTGGACTTCGACCAGCAGACCAACTTCCGGTTCCCCGTTCAAAGACGTAACAGAACCGTAAGCGCTATAGGCAACTCTGTTACCGAATAGATTCACATTGACAGTCGCCCCTTCCATGACATTAATCATCTTTGACGGCGGATCGAAGCGGTACTCCTTCATCATGGGTCGTAGATAATATTCGCCCGGCGACAACGAATTAAATATGAATTTTCCATCTTCGTTGGTTATGCTGTTCTTGCGGTAACTTTGACCACCAGACAAAGAAAGGAGCACACCCTGCAAAATGATACGATATATAATATTTCCTTTTCTTCAGTTAATGTCTTATCTATCAAGTTACCTGTAATGAAGAACCATCAGCGTGATCAGAAACTTGTACAATAATCTCGGCTAATTTGTGCGCCAAGAACACTCCTTTAGCATCAGGTCCAGTGATTACAAAACCCTCCTTCTCAGCTGTAACACTAATAGCAGACAATTATTAATTTCACGACAATTGTTATAATAAATAGTTATTTGTGTAACAAGTGTCGTAAGATGAAAATTCCCGGGTGCGGAGTTTACGCACGAGCCGAAGGCGCGTGCGGTAACCGCACCCGGGAATTTTCATCTTTACACACGACTTACACTCCCTATTTTATGTGGCAAGTGCCTGGAAAGTGGTCTATCACGCACGCGTAGTGTGCGTAATGGGGCACTTTCCATGCACGTGTTGCATGAAAATATATATATATGACTGCCAACATACCTATATTCGATTTTCCCATCCAAAGGTCCAACGCTGTAAGTCCCGTCTTTTTGTGTAACTAACGTGTGAATTGGAGACTCTTCGCCTTTCCCAGTTATCCGTATAGTTACACCTTCCAACGGTGGAGAGATCTGTCCGGCTATAATCTGAATAATATTTTCGCTTTAGCGGTGAAGTTTATACGTTTAATACAGTAGTAGTTACCCTACCTTTCCTAAATCACCGGCGAAACTTGCGATGTCGTTGTGACAGTCATTCACGCCGAAGATTTTCAGAGACGGCGGATTGAAGAGTAGAATGTCCGATAACGGAGTGATAGTGTACATATTATCCGTTTTCGCCTTAAACTCGAACTCGTATTTGTACACGTCGTCTTTTTTTACAGGTTTCAGTGGACCAATCCTATTAAGAAATATATTAATAAAGAAAGATGTACACATGATTTTATATATCGCAAAGAAATTAATGAAGACATTAATATCACTCAGATATGAATGAAAAAATATATGTACAAAATTTTTCTCAAAATATATCACTTACGTGACACTGTCATTTGCGTCTTCGATTTTTACTTTAAGATCATTTTGCACGCTCAAGCTTATAATACTGCCTTTGTGAGTGTGTTCGGTGGAATGCAGCAAGATCGGGGAGAGATTGCTCGTGTCCCAAGTATAGGAGGAATTTTCGTATACGTGACAACCCTTTGGAACAAAAGTGTATGCGCCAGATTTAGGCACGCAGTGCCTCATGCTGCCTTTGTTCAGGGGTAGAGTTATTAGTTTTGTGTTATTGGGCTCAAAGTACTCCACGGCCGTATCGTGAGACGATATGAAGGTGATGGAGAAGCCGGTCTGCTTGAACGGCGGCACCTCGGCGCGCTCCGACGTTATCGAAATCCTGTAGCTGGGATTCTCCCAGCAAAACACATCGTTGTCGATGAAGATCTCGTAGTGACCAGGTAGCACGTCCGTGAACTGGTATTGGCCATCTACGTAATGGAAAACGACTTCACAGACAGGGACAGTAGTATCGTATCGAATTAAACGAGCATTACTGCAATAACAAATAGGTACAAGGTACTTTTATTTGCTTGAAATCAAGATAACTTTCAAGCTTATTGCAAATGCAAGATTTATAAGATTATTTTTATTTTACAAAACCATATTTGTTATTGCAGCTCAAGTTATTATCATTAAAAAGATTGAGTTAAAAGATTGATTAGCATTTATGTCAGCACACCTCTAGCTTGTACCGTCTTTATCGTGACTCCATCGAGGATTTTCAGAGTAACGGAGGCTTGACTGCAATCCGTCCCTGGCAAACAATGTACCGTCCCCGTTAACGTGGCCTTCAATTGTAAGAAGTTGACATTGGTAATTGGTTGAGACGTCACGTCAATCGTTTGTTGCAGCGGGTAGAATCTAGAAATATAATCAAGCTTTTATAATCCGTAACTTTTTACACATACAATTTCATAAACTTTTGCGTATATTCTGATTTATTTTTACTTTATTACTTACTGCAAACCCTTAGTTTTCTCTTCCGTGCTCACAACTACGCTCAACTGGTATTTATCCGGTGCGAGGTATACAGAGTACTCTCCCGTCTTCTCGTCGGTGTCGAGCTCCTTATAGAACGTAGCGGCTGTGTTCTGAATGGATATTCGGCGAAAATGCAGCGTCCCCTTTGCCGACAGGGTTACCTTTCCCGAAACTTTATACGCCGAAGGTATCAGCACCGGAAGTTCAGGCGAGGTGGGAGATATTTTAACTGTCCTTTCGCTAAATTGTACATTTGCTGAAACAAATAATTTACTGGAAAATGATTCCTGAAGATCTAATTTACAAGAAATTTCGTAAAATTTCATAAATTTTACATACCAGATTCCGCTCTGAGTGTATATTGGCCGGCTTTCATGTTATCCAGTACATATTTCCCGTCCTTATCCGTAACTGCAACTTCTTTCTGCGACAAGAATATCTTTGCTCCTGACAAGGGATTTCCATTCGTCGAGATAAGAACAAGGCCGCCGACTGTGAAGCCAGTTACTTTAAAGTCTTGAGCGAGGACCACGCTGCCGTGGCCAACTTTGAAAGACAATTCCGGTGGTTGAACGTCGAACTTTGTCTGGGCGCCGGCGTAGTGAGGTACAAGCTTGTAATCGCCCGGCGATAGACTGGGGAATATAAATCTACCGGTATTGTCCGAAGTCACGTGGCAAAGCGGTTTCTTGGATTCAAAGTTCTTATCCACAGGGGTAGTCTCGCACTTCTCGGCGACACCATTCTGTAAGACGTACAAAATTATTCATTCTACGTATAAATCTAATAAGTACTTAAAAATTTAGAAATATCAATCTAATATTAAAACATACTAGTAACAAGAAAATAATAAAATAAATCTTACGCCGAAAAGGATGAAGGATACACCAGCCACTGGTTCATTCTCGCTGGTGACTTTGCCACTGACATCATATCCCAATACTACCAAGCTGCCATCCGCGAGTTCTGTGTTTCCCTCTCGTACAATTACTTCAACTTTATTTTCTTTTAGTATCCATCTGAAAAAGATAATTAATATCGTTGTCACCTTGTGTATCTTTTGCAGCTTAAAATAAATTTTTTAGCTGTCATACTGTACACTTACTTGGAGTGATGCGCAGCAAGGATGTACTTTCCAGGCTGAATGGGAGTAAAGTAAAATGTGCCACCTTCTGCCGTTAACGTCGATTTAATGGCAACTTGTTCATTATTGTTTATTGCATCTGCGTATCCTAAGTCGATAGTGACTCCTTTAGGACCAGAATCAGTACCTAAACTAATCACCTAAAAATAGTAATTTATATTAATTCAATAACTTTCAGATGCATTAAAAATTACTGTTAGATTGATTACAAAATTAAATATGTAAAACTACTGTTAAATTGTAATATTCCTCTGAATATAAATATTTTCACGTAACAGAGAGAAAATTTATTACTCACACGTCCTGTAATACCAAACCCTTTGAACGTAAAGTTAATATCTTTTCCCTGACTGCAGTCATCCGTGACACCATCTACATTCAACGTTACCTCGGTGGGCTCAAAGCTCCAGCCTCTGGGAGGATCTACCTGATATATTAAAACAGATAACTTTCATAAAATCTTTTACAGTAAATTTTTTAACACCAATTATAGAAACTAACAATTTTATAAATTTTGTACAGATATTAAAGACCAATCTTATTCTGTTCAAAGCAAAAGAGACTTTAGGAAATAAATTTATACATTTATATATTACACATAAATTACGAATTTCTTTTGTCGCGTACTATTTAATAAATTTAATTAGTGACAATGATGGTGCATCTTTCTCATTTCCAGCTCACCTTCAACACGTATTCTCCCTTGTCGTACAGAGGCAGGAAGTAGTACCCGGTGTTAGGCGCGCACTCGGTCTGATCCTTCAGACTGCCGGTCTTCGTGTACCTGACAAGTTTATCTCATGAAATTCAATGAAAACTACAGAACCTAACCTGCAACTGGCCTAACCTCTCACCGAGGCGGACACTCACAGTCTCACGTGCACCTTCGTGAAATCGATGTCGGCGTGACTCTTCAGGAAGCCGCCGCATCCCAGGATGTCCTGGGCGAGCGCGCCCGCGACGAGGGCCGCCAGGCAGGCGAGGAGAACGAAACCTCGTCGAGTCAGATCCATACCGTTTGTCATTGCCAGAATGGAGCCGCGGCGCCGACCAGCCGCCGCCGGTGGTGAAGTCATCACAGCTCACAAAGCGCGTGCGCGTACAATTCGTCCGGTAATCCGAAACCCGGGGTTACCGGGGTATACCACCGGCTTGACCGGCTTTGTCCTGTCCGGGGTGAGCGGGACGAATCGGGTAGAAGTGTGCAGACGCATTTACTCCTGAGTGGTAACGTTTAACTTCTCTTTTGATTATTATGTAATACACTCATCCTCATCTGACGTTTATTCTGAATTCTAATAGGAGGCAGACGCACGTTGGAAGCTGAGAACTTCAGTCGCTCGTTGAGAACTGGTCGGTTTGTTTACCCGCGGATCCGCTAATCCGGCTAATCCGCTAATCAGCCTGATCAGCCACACTCGCCGTTCGCTGGCTGTCGTTTTGCAATCGCGACACTGTCAATACCGTCATCCGCACGAGGATTTATCTGTGAATTTTACTGTACGGGTCGGGATTTTAATCTCGCACAACGAGGAATCTCGTAGGTAAGCTGATCAAACTGAACATTCGTCTTTCACGTATATGCATATACTTACGTGCTACTTAATTGATCGACCACTTCCAGGAGGGACGCCGGCGTGCCGCGATCGAAAATGGTGAAAATAGCGTTGCGGATCAGGTGCAGGCTCGACAACGTCGAGGAGCTGAGGCCGTGCGGGCCCGAGTTCCGGTGGTGTCTCAAGTTCATCTGTGGCAACTGCGGCGAGAAGTCGGAAAAGTGGAACTACATATCCCTGGACGAGTCGACGCCGATGCAGCGGGGCAGCGGGGTCAATCACTTCGTGAGCAAGTGCAAGATGTGCATGCGGGAGAACACCGTGACGATAATCGAGGACTCGATCGGGTCTTTCACCGCGGACGACCAGGGACAGTTCAAGACGATCGTCGTGCTCGACTGTCGGGGTATAGAACCCCACGACTTCTCCGCGAGAGACGGATGGATAGCCAAGGTCGCGGACGGCGGCACGGAGTTCGCCGACGTGGATCTGAGCGAGGGCGAGTGGGAGGACTACTGCGACAAGATCATGGAACCCGTTGGGATATACGAGATCCAGCACAGGTTCGAGAGAATAAAGTGAAATCGTACCTTGCACACCTACCAGAGGCACGCGTTTTGATTATCCTACCGGTTGATACGAGATGAGGCGGCGTGTACGTCTGTTGTGTGTAAATACTATGTAAAGATATGCATCGCAGTCCTCATGCCTCTTTCACTTCTCTCGCGCACAGATTGTTAATATATATCATACAATTATGGCTGCGGTCCATTTGATGTTACAAGTGCTTCGAAGCGTACTTTCCTTCTTCTTTTTTCATTGAAAGAAAGGAGAAGAAGAATGCTTCGAAGCATTTGTAGCATCAAATGGACCGCAGCCTATAATATATTATAATATCGTTAGATTTCTCATTGAATTGAGAAGATAAATACCGTTCACTTTCTGCCTATATAGAACTCGCATCTGTGACTTCTATTACACGATGGCCTCTGGTTTTTTTCGTTTGCGTCTGTAATCAATGAATAAGTACGTCAGAAAGATGCATTTAACTCGAATTTCATTGATCGTATGATGGATGATAATTCTGTTGATCTTGTGTGAACAATTATTTTGATTGTATCTGAAGTTTAAGACAATATCGTTGCACATACACTTGTTTGATACGAGTTATTCATGTTTGCGTGAATAAGCACAGCTTGCGATAAGATAAGAATTATCGCTTTGTAATAAACATATAGTCTTTTCATAACTTGCAAGGTCTCTTCTATGTAATCCTCGGGCGTCGGAGTATTCTTTCGCGCACAGAAATACCTTCGATCCTCCTTCAAGGCAGAGAGTAAAAGCAAGCACCAATCCAACGACATAATATAATTTATTCATAATCATATAAAAAAACCATTTTTATTTCGTAAATGGCTTGGTACACAAGAGATGTCGTTTGCAACAATAATTCCACTTTGCCTCCAAGCACGTATTCGGAGTTTGCCGATCCATACCCTGCGTAAATAATCGAGTGACTAGAGTGTCGTTTTGCGGCAAGGGTGCCCAATGCTCGAAACTGTTGTGCTCGGCTTTAACCGATTCGCGGATCGCACAAATCCGGACAACATGCCTCTCTCTTCCCGTCACCAATGCAAACTGCATTCTTGGAATGTCAATGCGATCGCATAAAAATCATCGAACTTATGACAACGACGCATTAATCCGTCTTTACGATTATAAAAAATTAAAATATTCCTCGGTTAAAAAATTATGTTATATACAGTGTCCTCTGTGTTTTTTTTTTCTCACGTATAAAACTCTCGAACAACGTCTCACTTAACGATACTCGGGCGTATCGCGCAAAGACTTTCGATTTACGATCTCCGTCTGTCTCCACAATAAGCTACAAACGGAAAAGATTACGATGTTCGAAAGGAAAATCGTATTAGAGGCAATATTTCACGGCAATAAATCACAAACGCGATTTGAAAGAAAACGAAGAGAGGAAGAAACAAAATGTGACTTCGTTTACTTGACGATTGCCTAATGCAACTAACGCTACGCTACATTTGTCTAATGCTTTCGTTTACTATGCTTCCTAATATCTAACACAAATAAATATATCGCGTGCGTATTACAATCCGCCGTTTCTCGGTGAATCTTTTAACGTATTGAATCACATGTAAGTAATCGCTAAAATTTTTTTTTAATCTAACAATCGATAACGCTATCAGTCTATTCTCACAAAAATATCACTATGACCGAACATACCGCGTTGACGATACAACCAGAGCCCGAAATTACGAAATCGATCGAAATTAAATAAACGCAAACGTAACATAAATAAATAAATAACGCAAACGTTCGAAATATTCTTAAAACAAGAATACTTTTTTTAAAACAGAAATAACTACTGTGTCTTTTTAAATCGCTTAAAAATGTAACTCGAAAAAAATACGAAACCCCACGTAAATTTGTTGCGAATGCTGGAATGGAACACTCGACTCTGGCCGGCATGGAAGATTTGTAATCCGCTTGACGTAACTCGAACAATTATCCTACTAGCAAATCGAGGTTTCTAAAAACGCTTTAACCATGATCCTCTAATGTTACGAATATGCATCGCTGGTGCGCTTTTTGATCGGTTAAACGGCTCTAATCTACTATCTAAGCTATCGTCTTTGGTATACTAATCTGGGGGATGCTTACTTTATTCGGAAACAGAGGTGATTGTTCACGGGGAAAGATCTCGCTTCCGGGGATACGAATATCGCATAAAAATAGGAACATTACGAGTAATACGTATAAGCTATGCTGATTATGGCGTCCCCATTATGTCTCACGGCGAGAAACGATTATCAGTAGTCCTCGTCCTCTGTGTGAAAAATAAGTGACGTTTGCGGATGAAGAATCGAACACGAACGAGGAGCGAAATATAGCTTTCTCCACTGTGAGTGGATATGGAAAGCCCCCGTGTTTTACAATTGTCTCCTGTATCGCGTCCAATTCAGCTAAAAGTGGAAAAGGTGCGCATGCTATAAACATCGTTATTCTGCAACAGATCAAGTTGGAAGAATCGAGAGTGCTGGAGAAGAAAAGCCTTGACTTAAATTTTTATCTGATGTTAAATTTTTTCATCTCTATTATGATCCGCGTTATTCACACGTATTCTCATCGCTTTGACAAGAACGCATATAAATGACTTTCACGTACGGGCTTGTCTGCTTAATCTATTTAACCCTTTAAGCCTCAATTTTTATTTTTTTACGAAGTACATATAAAAATTAGTTATATCCCTAGGGGTGATTAGACATATATCTTGCTTAAGGAGCTTACATACGTAGGAGGTTTTATTTGTCTCGATGAGGCTCAAACGGTCAATGAAACTTATCTCAATGTCAATCAGCGTTATTCTTCCCCAACCTATCTCGATCGAGACTGGGCCGTATTCCTTGGGCACGTATCGTTTAATGTCTTTCTAATATCTAAATCGATTATATACGTTTTGAGTCGCCTATCTGCTAGTGTATTCGGCTAAATCCGTGAGTTTCTAAATTCGTTAGATGGATACATGCTAAATATCTATGCTTTCTCGATACTGTTATATTACTCATTCGCATGACGTGCGTTACTTTTGACGTTCCTTGCTACGATTTTTCACTATGTTTCCTTGTTTCTTCTAAAGTATATCAAAGACAGACACCCGTGAATAGGCCCGTTAGATGTTGAATAGTATAGGCTCAATCCTAAAACGCTAACAGGGACTCTGGCAGGGCCCAGTGTACAATCTCAAACTAGTGCGTACTATCTTTCTCCTTGTTTCCTATTGCAAATTTCGTAATAATATATTAATGATTGATAATATTATATTTTGTATATATTTGAAAAAATGTTAAATATAGAGATGTTAATATAGTGATAGTGATTAATAATATTAATTATTCTATTATAATTACTTGGTAATATATCGGTTATTAATAATTCCACGTTAGCGTTTTAGGACTAATCTAACGTGATTCGACGATCTGTAAGAATTTCTCGTCTGCCGTCATTTCGGGAAGAAATTTCGGAGCGAGCACCGCGAAAGACGATAGATTGAACGAGAGTCTAACTAGTGAAAAGGCTAATCTAAAGCGACAAATGAAAGTCGTCCTACCCGCGCGAAGTTGCAAACTAATAAAAACGACGAAAAAAAAGTTCGTGAGAAACGTTAATTATTGTGCGAAACGAACAATAGAGCGGAACAATGCCCAGCGAGGATACGCGACATTCAATTTCGACTCTCTCTCTCTCTTTCTCTCCCTTCCTTTCAATCTCACTTTCTCTCTCTCATATCACGTAGACGGACAGAAAAATAGAGATTTGATGTGCGCGTCCGCACTCAGCCGACCCTGGTATCGTCGAGCCCGAGAAGGATCGCGTCATCGTAATTCGGTATTCGGCGCGCATGGAGTAAACGCCGCGCTTAATCAATACTCGTCGCAGCGCGCGGCGGCTCGACCAATCGCGGATTCGCCGAGGACAAGACTCGTAACTTCGATCCTGTCGGTCCGGCCAGCCTGTTCCCCTCGCAAGGAACAGGGTATAGACGCCGTTAGTCGTGATCGTGCGGCACAATAGGCCGGAAACGAGTCGACCGGTCGGATTCAAGGCAGCTCGTCGGTCAGCAAACTCGTCGGTTCCAGGCAAGTCTGCTTCAGAGTGGCTGACTGATCTTCGAGGCTGCGCTTCAGGCCCTCGATCGTCTGCATCAGCATCTGCCGTCGTAACTGGGTCAGCTGATGCTGGAAGAACTGCGAGTCCTGAATGTTGTTCGCGTTCGCCTCGGCGGCCAGTCGCTCCTGCCGCAATTGCGCTACCTTCTCCTTCAGGGATCTCCTCGAATCATCTGCGTATACAAAAATAGTATTAATAGACCGATATCGCCATAGAACAATTAAACCCGCGCAATCTATTAAGATTAGAATGGAACAATCAATGCAACTTTAAAATTTAGAAATTAGATATTCCTACCAAAAATTATGTAATTAATTATCGAGAATTAGAATTATATGTATCTTACATATTTATCGTCGCTTGATATGGTTAGTATTATCAAGGAAAGAATTCTTCAAGTGTCTTACAAAAGAAGCAGATATAAAGAAACACGTACCAGTATCATCGGTTGCTGTATCGCCATCAGAATTTCTTAGCATAACATGCTCGCCCAATGTCTTTTGTATTCTGCCATATGTTGCGCTTCCGGCGTACACTTTCCTTTTCACCGGCTCGCTTTGCGGGCAATAGGAAGAACCTTCTTTGATGGGACCCATGTCGACTGATCTAAAGATATTTTTCTGTTACAAGTATTCAACGATCGCACGTTCACTGTTGACATTAAATCAGTATTATAATATATCGATAATTACCGTTCATCGTATGCAAACTTTCTGTGTAGATTAATTAAGTCGTTTCTTCTGATGAAATATTATAACATAAATTAATAACGATATAACAAGGAAGAAAACTATCTTTTTAGATCAATTTTTTATAAGAAATAACGAGAAACTTTTAATCAATTTTCCATTAAACTACAATTTAGAAATTATTCAAAATTTCGTTAAACAGTTTTCAACCTGAAAGTCATCAACGGAGCCCTCCGTCTCACGTCGCACTTCTCCTCGGAATCCGACGAGCTGGACGTCACTCCTTCCTCCTTCGTCGATTCTCTCGCGGCGCGAAATTCCTTTCTACCACCGACGAGAGAGCCCTGCGTCATCGCGTTCGCGTGTATCTTCTCCCCAAGAGAATTGTTCATATTCATGGTTTCCGGTTTCATTCCGCCGTTACAATTCAGGGCGATCCGAGGTGATCTGTTGCCCTCCTTGCTTTCCGGATCGCCATTACGCGCTCGATGCACCTGCTGGTGGATCAGGGTCCTGCTGGGCGAGCTCTGGGGCGTCGTTCTGCGCGTCATCGCCGGCGAGTCCGGACACTTGGACAGTTCGTGCTGTCGGAAAACAGGCGGGGGCTCCTTCGGCGCGAATCCGACCGGTGAGTTCCTCTCCATAAATCGATGAATCGGCGAACACGGCTGAGCGAACTGCCGTTTGGGACTGGTGTGCTCCAGATCGCGGATACTGCCGCTCTGCAATTCCGGCTGGGAATTGCGGCTCTTCGACAGCGCCAGTTCGATGTTCAGCTCTGTGTTCTTGATGAGTTCGACACGCTTGTTCGCCAGGCCGTTGTGCAGTTTACGCGACGGCGATGGCACACACGGCGAGGGGTTCTGGTACTTTTGCATGCTCACCAGAATGTTTTCCGCCTCTAGGATAAGCTCGCGATACTTGCGATCGGCCTCCTTGTCGGCCTCGATCAGCGCGATCTCCGACGCGAATGTGGTCATGTACGTGTTGCCGGCTACGTGGCGTCGCACCATGTTGCCATTCACGTAACTCACCTGAAGAAAACACAAAGTAATAATATAATTTAAATTCTTACTAAAAGCTCTTGCTAACTAACGTCATCTCACGAACTGGAGATAAGAAAGCGAGAATAAAACATGAAAAATGCTAATTGATCATTTAGTAAAAAGATTGGATGGAACGTGATTAAATTAAAATCTAACCGAGTTCGACCGTCTCTTTACGATCTCATTCTCGATCACAGGTCTGATAGTCGACGGGTTGCCATTCAGTCTCATCGGCGAGAGATTCTTGTTCACGTCGTGCTTCCTGCGTCGCAAGCACATCGGCGTGCCGCCTACGCTCCTGCTGCCCTGATTGAATCCGGAATTCTTCAGTAGCATTCTCTCGACCAACACGCGGTTCAGATTCGCCGTCTCGTCGTCGCGGTCTAGAGTGGGCTTGCGACGCTGCGATATCCTCTTCTTGCGTTTCTCGCTTTGCTTATCATCTATCTTCCTGTGTCGCGAGCTCTGCCTTTTCGAACTGGCTCTGGTATTCATGTTTCTAGCAATGACAGAAGTAAACGATGTAATATAAAATTATTTAGCATGTAAAAAATGATGTAAAAACGCTAAAATAAGTGCTCGATAGCTTGAAGGGGTAAACATTTCTTAGAGCTTACCTTTGAGAGACGATCTCGTCCTTGCTTCTGCGCTTGAGGAAGGACTCGCGGAGCCTGCTGCCACGTCGGCTTAGTTCGCTGGTGAAGGTGAAGTAGGTGCAGTGACCGGTATTGGGAAAGTGACCGGCGCCACATTCGAGACTGTCCAGGTCGAGGAACGAGCCATTGTCGATGTAATCGAGCTCGTCGTTTTCGAACGGATCGTTCTCGTCGCCGCCGTCCTGGCCGGTGTCGATGTCCGACAGCGAGTCGATGTAGTCCTCGCAGTCGGTCGGGTCGCTGTCCGACAGGATGTCCGTCTCTTTCTCGTACACGTAACTCTCGTCGAACTTGCCCATCATCTCGTTCAGCGTGATGTCGTCCTCGGACGAGCGCACGCTGCGCGTCACCGATGACGCCGACGAACTGCTGCTGCTGGCTCGTCGTTGCAGGGCCAAAGAGATCTTCGGTCGGAGATCCATGCCCGATGTAATCCTCCAGTTTTGATTAATCCTGCGCAAGACATATCGTAAAAAATCTTGTTTCAAATTCAATGGAATATTTTAGATATAAAAATACTGATTGAAAATTGGTTTAAATTGTGTCAAATGTAAGTAGAGGAGTCAATTGAAGAGAAAAAGTTATACGTATGAAAATAAATGATACGTACAAAAATATTTTATTTGGACCTTTTTTATGCACTTTAAATTTAGTTTTTCTTTAAAAGCTCCAAATGCACGCGATTGCGTATAAACTGCGTAAAGCTATCGACAAAAGAATGAAGTTTATATAAGCTGCCGTCAGTAAATTTTGTTTAATAATGTAAAGTACACAATAATTTGCAAATCAATGCATATGCAATTTGTAAACTAACGATAATTGCATTGCAAAGGAAATTACGACGAGCAATGACATTAGCCGTGTAATCAGCTTATAATTGCGCATAAAGAATTAAATCTGGCGTAAAGGGCGGACGTTTTCGTAATTGCGTATCGGCGGCCAGTAAAGCGCACAGTTTCGCGGAATCTTTTCTGCTTCGCGGAACTTTTCTAAGAATCGTCGGTCTCTCCTTTAAGTAGGTACCGCCTCGGTCAATTCCAGACCGAACACTGGAAAAGCCGATAGATTTAGAGAAGAGAAAAACTTCTTGAAAAAGGGCGTTCGCCAGCAACTTACGCAATTAGAAGTTTCTTCTACAAGAAATTGGATAAATTCCAGGAGAGCAACAACACAACTACAGAAATATATCAGATACTTTTACCCGCGAAATTTCTCGCGTTTCGCTTTTATATTTTATTTTTCCGCAGCTTCTACTTAAGCCCGTCTATCAGACTACGGATTAGGATTGAGATTGGATTAAAATTTGACCAAACAGAGCGAAGTTCACTAAACTTGAGATTCGTTTTTTTTTATTATGATTGATTATATAAATTTCACTCTAATCTCAAGCCCAATCCGTATAGTGTGATACGGACTTTATCAAGGACGATTTTTAATTTTTACTTCTATGCGTTCGTTTTATTTAATAATGTTCCCGGGAATACTTTTCTTTTTGCGTATATAATTTGAACACTGAGGATGGTTCGATATTAGAACAAAAATGTTTGTAACTATTTTTGTATTATTACACTGAATATATTAACACTGTCATCTTGTTACAGCTCGTTGCCCTTTATTTATTTATTTGATTTTAATTTTTAACTTTCTGCTTTCATTCAGACAAACTTCTAATCCGACTAGACGTCTAGTTAATCGATGTAATCGTCTAATTCTAATAAAATTAGATTTTATTATAATAATTCCGGTTAAATCCCTTTCACTAGAATGTAGCCTATCGGGTGTAAATCGCTTTGTTAAAAAAAAAAAACATTAAAAAATATCACTCACGGGCTTCGGCCTGCGCTAAGGCTCTCCTGACGATGCTCCCTCCTGCCATGAGGCTCCCTGCCGCCGTTCAGGTTGACGTCGCTGGCACTGCCGGAGGATTCCGTGAGTTTCAGGCCGGAGCTGCTGCTGCTCTCGTCCAAGGCGAGCCGCGATTTCAGGCCGTTCGTGCTAGATCCGGAGGAGTTGGCCGACAGCCACGGGTTCGTCCGGATGCGGGAGCGTTCGCGGGGTGACTGCACCGGGGGCGAGACAAGCGGCGGCGGTATCGACGACGGTACCGGCAGACTGTTCCTCGTCGAATCGGCGGAATAAGACTCTGTCCTGCGATGAGTGCTCTCCTGTCTCTGTTGCTGCTGGTGCCTCTGACCGTGATTCATCGGCGTCTCTGCGCTCTGTCGATTTAGAATAGAAATAGACAACGAAAGGGAAGAGACGAGGCATTTACATTTCATTAGTTTTATATTTGGCTTCATCGAGCATAATTGATTAAAGCTTCCGTCTTTATATCTACGGTAACTAATGTTCCGTGATGTAAAAAGAGACAAAAGATAGGTCGGACGACGCTTAAAATTAGCTAACGTCGACAAAATTGGCGAACCGTCGTTTCGCCATTTCCTTTTAACGAGATAATGCACGTTTTACGGTCGTTGGTCCGGGAAAGTGAAAATAGTGAATATTCTGTAAAAGAAACAAGCGTTCAAGCTTGCCGATAGCGCTATTGTAGGCGAAAAGATCGTTTCATTTGCATTTGCGTTTAAGATTAAAAAAGAGATTATCAAAACATAAAGCGTCGACAGCAAAATTTTCTCTGTTAGTGTAATACACAAATCAATTAATTATTCTTGACTGTATACAATAAAAAATATATCTCTTGGGGACGTCTTCCTTATTGCTCCGTTAAAAAAACGCGCACGAAAATTAATTCGTCCATTCATTCAACCCTTTAAAGTCGCGCCTTTATACCCGTCCCCTGTACTTTCGCCCTTATCGCCAACCTAAATCGCAAACTCGACCGTTCCTCTCCAACCTACCGAAACGGAGTTTCGCGCGACACGCAATCGATCACGAGCCTCGAGGAGGAAGGATTCATTTTTCACTCCTGTCGCCCATTAACGCTCCGATATCCTGGCTCGTTTCGCGACAATAATGCGTCTTTCTCTCGGAGTCGCGCGAAGGGAAGAGCGAAGCGAGCGAAATAGCGTTTCCGGACTTTTTCACCTCCGTGCTTCAGGAGGTGCGCGACACAATGCGGCTAATAAAATATTTTTTTCCCGCGACAAATAGCGGTACGTGCCATGCGCCATGAAGGGAATGGGTCATCGCGCCACCACCGCCTCTCAAGTAAGCTCAGCAGCATCCGCGGGATTCACCGAGAGAGGGAATCTCTCGCAAACTCTCCTTCTGTTTCTTGGCTCTTTTTCTCTCGGGCTTCCCCCGCGATACCGGGGATGTCGCGACGATAAACGGTACTTCCAGAATATGTACTTCCCGCCACGACGAAAGAGGCCGGGTGTCGTTGAACTCGCGGCCTCAAAGACCCTGGGGCGGACAAGCGCGCCCCACAAGACGTCGCGCCCGGGGGTGTGTTTTAGCGAAACGACGACGGTAATCTCCGCGCGGCAGACTCGCGAAGCGTACATTTACTTTCGGCCTATTAACTATTTGAGGCTGGGCTGAATGGAATGCGACGCGTTTGACGGAAGAGTCGGCGTCGCTCTCCTCTTGTGAATACGCTACATCGAGGTATCTCGAAACTTTGCAATGGCAGACGCTTCGGGCGTTTCTTGAGCGATATCTGAATTAGAATTTTGCCTCGGAAAACTCTCACGCAACTACGAAAATTTCGTGAACTCTGTGAATCTTGCGTTCGAAAATGTTGTATTATTGCTAAAATTAATTAAAGTATGTGCTTAAAACACGTTTAATTATAATATTATATTTTACATTTAAATAAAATAAAATATTATATTAAACATTTAATTAAAATAATATAAGTAGTTTATAATATATAAACTAAAAAAGTTCTTTAACATTCTACAGAAAAAACAGTGAAATATATCATTGAGAGTAATCGTAGCAGCTGTGACGATAAAGAAGCCATCTCTTCTCCAATTCGAAGATATATTTTTATTTGTAACACTGAGGATATATCTTTACATAATTGTTTAAAAAGTTACATAAGTAAAAACGAAAAGAAAGTATATAGCTGAATTTGCACGGTTTTCTCGTTAACGCATTTCTTTAGCAGAGAATGCACCTTTTTCGACGCAGAGGATTTTCACCTGCCTCAAATTCCGAAACTTATGCCGACAACGGACTTACCTTGTGCGGCGTACTCGCTCGTACTTCCGGCTGACCGTTGTCTCTGGTCATGTTCGTCGTGCTCGCGGATGACTGACCCCTGTCCTCGACTCTTCCATTTCCTGGAGCACTACCGGTCGGTGGCAGATCCCCTGCGTTGCCCGGTGGCCTCTTCGCTCTACTCTTGTTGTTATTGTTATTGTTGTTGTTGTTGTTGGCGGTGGTGGTACCGCTACCACCGTTGCTCTGAAAATAGTGGGTGCCGGTCCTGATGTTGATGTAGTATTCGGGTGGGAAACTGGTGCCGGGCGAGGTGCCGTCGGTCGAGTAGCCGGTCGAGTACGCGCTCTCCGGCGAGGAGAGACTCACACTTCCGGCGGTACCGCCGGAAGTGCCGGACGAAGTGGTCACTGTCGCGCCGTAGCCGCCCCCGTGCAACCGGATACCGTCCACGTTCTTCGTCGGCGAGTCCACCGGATGTACCTGGGAAGAAGATCAAGAGTTCCTCTGAATCGTACTCGCGACTTGTATCCCGAACATTATTTATTAACTTTTATTCGATACGACGAGGAAAAAATATTCCAACTCAATAAATTGATAATATAATAATGCTTATTTAAGATTATCTTCATATTTCGCAGATTTTTTAATGTTGGTCACATTAATTAAATTGATAAAAGATGTACTGATTAATGAACATCGAAACTTGCGAAAATAATCGACTTATTTTTACTAAAAACTAAGTATTCAAAGATGTACAGAAATATTAATGTAAAAAACTCATCTTATTTAAAAATAAATGTATTTTGTAATAATAGAGAAGGAACTTATTTTTAAAAATTTATTATAAAATATCTTTTAGAATTCTTTAAAAGTTTCAGACAGCTTTCAAAAGTATCAAGAATGTTAATCTTGTTAACGTGATCTTCGAAAGAAACCCGCGTATTATATTAATCCGGAAGACACAGCAAAAAAAAAAGAATTTATACGATGCAAAAGTTCATAAATTCAGTACTGTCTACAGTCTACATTAATGTAGTTTCGATAAGGCAGTCGTCCGGCAACTACACAAAGCCCGAAGATACTGCGGCAATCTGCAATGGATGGCGCGAGAGAAATGCAGGGGCGAGTCGCCTGACGGGGTGTGTCGGGAAAAGAATACTGAACCCTTTTTCTATCCGCCTTAACGATAAGCGTCGACGTGCCCTGGCAAGCTCCTTCCACGGAAAACGCCGACCTAAGGGTCTGTTAGCGGAGAAACGGACGGGCGTAACGAGCAAACGCTGGCAAGCAGTAGGAAAATAGGGGAAGCACTTCGCAAACTAGTTTGCCGATAATGACGATGAATCCGACGAGCGTGCGCCTTTCGAGATACTTCAGAGCACGAGTACCTACCTCGCGCTGAGCGATCGCGAGTGAAAGCAATTAACGTTAGTCCCATATATATAAAATCTCGCAGCGTTATAAAGACTGCACGGAAACGATAAAAAATTCCAAACTTCTGAAAGTTCCACTGGAAAGTTAATACTATTTATTTGTTATACCGATTGTTACACTGAGGGAAGAATATTGTAGAATCAACAAAACAATTTTGTTGATTTTTCAATTTATTGATCCAATTATTTATTTTATTAAATTAAGTACACGTCTAATATTTGAACAAAATGAAAATAATTGAATTCTGAAAATGGTATCATACAAAATCATTTTTTTAAGTTAATGATCAATTTTGTTAACTCAATAAAATAATTTTGTTGAACCAAGAACATTAACGTCTTTAAAAATAGTAAATTTATTCAAAGAAATATTTAGTTAATGTTATATTATTTATAATTGATAGTATAAAATATTTAAAAAGAACAAATCAATATAGTCAACAAACAAAATAGTCAAAAGAACAAAAAGAACAAAATATTTTGTACAAATATTTTGTTAAGCCAATCAAATCATCTGCTTGGCAACATACAATCTTCCGGTTTTATTAAATCAACAAAAAAAATTTTTTTTTAATAATTATTTAAAATAAAAAATTTGGTAGAATATATAAGACGTTCTTTTATGTAAAAGGAGAGTCATATTGCAATAATAGTAGATTTCTTATAGAGCTTGTTTTAAAATTTAAATTGAATTACATAATGAGAGATATGGGAAGGGATCACGAGGCATCAAAGATTTATTCGGGGATCGTTTCGCAAAACGATCGGGAAATTGCGTCGTGATTGCTCACCTGGTGCAAAGCGGGCGATCTGTTGGCGCTGTGGCTCCTGGGGGAGTTGCAGTTCGAGTCGAATCCCTTGTCGCCCTTCTTCCGATCCTTCTTCTTCTTCGATCGCACGATGTGTGCCTCCATCCACGTGCGCAATTTCGTCCCGAACATGTTGCACACGAGTGTCGGCTAACGGAGCGGCGCCTCGTCGAAAATGCCCAAGTGGATAGAGGAACTCCTTCCCACGATTATCGTCCGCCGGAGCCGGCTGCGATCGCGTTATTTGCGCGCACGTACACTGCTCGAGCGTTCCATTTCACGGTGAAACAGGACCTCTGCAACGAGAAGAGACTCGCTCGTTCAATCTCGCTAAGAATCGCGAAGATCGCAGTAAAGAAGCGACGCTGAGGTGCATCGGGAAGAGAAGTTTAACATGAGCACGTAACAAAATGTAGAAATCACGAAAAATCTTATCAAGTCTTGTCTGCGCCACGTAAAAAGCTCTAATACGAAACGTTACAAAGATTAATAATTCTTTTATTAGACGCTTATTAGCATCAGCAATATTAATTGTGCAGCAATTTAATAAATGTGAAATTATATTTCGAGCTTTGTGGTATATAAAAACTACTGTTCCAATACCGAATAGTACCTAATTTGCGCATAGTTTTGTACACACAAAGTGTATAAAACTCACAAAAATTATTATTAAGCATAAGATCCTGCCCGATGACTGAACATGTTAATTCTTTAATTTATTCCGTGTTATATTAATCATTATTTACATTTATTAAAATATTAAGGACTTGTGTATTATCACAATCTAGATCTGCCAGTAACAAGATTGTATGTTTCGCGACGCATGATATAATTGCTATGAATGCTATATATAATTGTTATAATTGATCCACCGATTCGACTTAGGGCCAGCGCACGAACATTGCCATAGCGTCTTACGCCTTACGTGAGAATCTTGCGTTACGCGACACGCAAGTCAATCTTACGGCAACGCACGAAGAAAAGCGTAATGTAACGTACGTCACATAAGACCAATTAAGTTACGTTCTTGGCCCTTAATCATTACGCGGCAAACGATCGCGATCGCCGGTGTCGGGTTTCCTCCGGTTCCCTCTGATTACCTCGTAGATCACTGCACGCCGCTCGTTGCGGGATGATTATTACAGACTCGCGTTACACCGCTATTTACACAAGCTCCTCGTTCGTCAATCTCCGGATCGTCAATAGCCGAGTCGCGGTCATGTAGCCAGAGCTCGCATTAACATACTAAGTGCCTCGTCGTCGCTTTCACGCCATTTTTCCTGCCTCTAATGCGGACGAGTGACGGGCCACCAATCCGTCTCGCCGTTTCCCGATCTCGGGAGACAATAAATCTGTAACGGAAGACATATGCGCGCCTCCGTGTAAACCCCCGTGTCGCGAAGCGCGGATTTATGCGATCGCCAGCGGGGGAAAAATGCGATCGATCTCGTTTCAATGCCGCGGCTTGTAAACCTATCTGCAAAAGATATACGATATTCATCGCTCCAAGATTCGCGAATTCATAGTAAATCTCCGCCTAAAACTTGTTGTTCAACTAAAATGCTGAATTTAATTTTTAATTCTGTAAAATTCCAGAAACTCTCCGGGGAGATTTTTCGCGTTCGTTTCCAGTCCGAATCAAGTGAGATCACTTGATTCTTCGACCGTGCTCGGTCGGGGGTTGGTAATCAGCGGGCTAAACTTAATTAGGAACCATCGGGGGTCCGAGCAATTTAACGGACCGGATAATTAATGCGCCACGCGTTCGAGGAAGCCGCCCTGATTTAAAACCGTTTCCAAGGTCGCGTAAAAAGTAAGTATTACAAAATTTATTTCGCTATTAAAATTATAAGTCGAAAAAAGTGAAACAATGTAGTCTGAAAGTTTCGATTAAAGTTTCTCCCGTTTTAGAATTTGAATTTTTCAAACGAGATTACATCCTGTTGCCTATATACAAACGCGCTACAAAAGCAAGGTGTTACTTTTAATGCTCTCGTATTTGTAAGACGCACCTTTTTAAAGAACCTTTTACATTTATAATGTTTTCAATTACGCCAAATAAGTCGCCGCGCCTGTTTGCCGTCGGTTTATGCCTTCGACGAGGGGATATACAAATTTGCATAAACGCGATCGAAGTTTCGGGCACGATTTCGAAAACTCGCGGTGGTGGAGTGATCTCTTTATGGAAATAAGCGGATAGGCGCTGTCGCTTCAACTTTTAAGAAGCACCGGAAAGGTATTAGTTGAGCCGACCGAGTTTTAATCAGGGCTTTCCGTCATCGTCTCCTACGCCCGAGAGAAGGGCGTTAGGAGAACGGTTTTGGACGTATTTTTAAGAGACCGTATTTTTAAGAGAACTTGGAATTGTCATGTACGTCGGAAGTCTTCCGGATGAAATCTTATTACATACAGAATTAGCAGCGTTAATTAAGCTCTATGCGGCTGACAGATTTTGTGAGGCATTAAATGCGCGCTCCGGCAGAGCGTACTACAATCACAAATCTCTGCTCTTTGCCCTTCCGGCTTAAAACGGCTCACAATAATTCATAAATTCCTCTTTCGCGTATATTTCCGCGCTTTTATACAGTCTCGCTCGCTTAAATATTGTTAATATTTTAGTAGCACTTTCACGTCGCCGGGTTAGTCTCTTCTTGTCTGTCTTTCTCTCTCTCTCTCTCTCTCTCTCGTTTACTTCCTTATCTATTTGATCAATTCGGGTATTCAATTTTACGTTTCTGCTATAAAATTTACATGCCTCTCTCCTTGCTCTCATCTTACCCTATAT